GGGCTGTCCCTAGAAACACAGACTCCTGAGAAAGGCTGTGGGACTGAAAACAAAGGGAATTAAGAGACGGGTGGCAGCATGTTCAAGCAGAAAGGAAAGCATTTGGGACCAGGCAAATGTTTTTCTGTCAGTGCCAGATCCTTGGCTCACATGTAGTTCTCTGTCGCTGTTCCCGAGTATAACAGCACTTTAAAGACAGCATTATAAATTTTCTGGAATAACCAAAAGCAGTAACAACTTTGATTGCCTCTACAGATGTTGGAGGGCAACTAGACCAAATAGTAGGACATAACTATATCATAAATCTTCTAACTTACTACTAAACTGGTATGTACCAGCACAGGAGAATAATGACAAGTTTCTGAACTTATACTACTAAATCTTATCTCCTAGCACCAAACCCAAGAAATAACAGTTTTGTTTCAAAAGGCAAGTCATAGCCTGCTTGTGATATACTCTGCCAAATTCCTCTGCAGAAATCCATGATATATTACTTCTACTTTGATATATTTCTTCTATTTTGATATATTACTTTGACTTATATAAAGCATAATGTCTACTTTTGAGACATATTAAATAGGGATGACTGAGGCAACTATACATTATTATTTCTAATAAACAGAGAAGCCTCTTCCACCCTGACAAACAAAGACTGAGAAACCTCTCAGCACATCTGCAACCAAATAAGCAGAATATTAGTCCAAGAATTTCAAATGTCTTGCTAGCCTTGTTGACCATTTACTGGCTGAAGTTATTAAATTCTTCACGCTGCATGGGTAGGTGGGATTGACAAGTTAAGGGAATTATCCTGCATGTTCACTAACCACTGAGTATGATTTGCTCACTTTCCAGTACCTGTGACTCATGTCTAACACAGTGGGAGTGAGACAGCAAGAGCCGTGATTGCAACTGCAATCACAGAAAAAGCAGTATGTTAAACCATAGCACAGGTATTCCCTATCTTGTTTTTGTTTATGACTCTGGACTATATGCAGGCCATAAGTAAGGCCATCTTAGAAGTAGCTAGCAACAGAGGGTTTAATATCAATAAATTACTGAAATTATCAGCAATTATGACTGTAGGTTGGAAGCAGCTAAAACTGAAAACCTTTCCAGTAACACAAAGCAGCAGAATTTTAGGGTTGTTCCTAGACAAAAAGAAGCTTTTGGGCTCATATGTGAAACCTTGGTTGCTATTATGGTGACCACTAAATACAACATATTTCTTACAAAGTGACACAGAAACCAGAGGAAATTGTGCAGAAAACTAAATCGAGAACTTAGAGTTCTATTGCAGATCTAGCCCCTACTTAAAGGAACTCCGCTGCACCCATGCATAGGCACAGTCAGTGACACTTTCACAGAGATTCATCCCATCTCTGAACATCCAAGAGGCCTTGTTCCTCTTCTCTCAACTATTGCTTCTCCTTCTGTTTCCTTTTCTCTTCTTAATAATTTAAACCTTGACCTTTCTTCTCTGTCTTCTGTTTCTCCCAATGCTGAACCATACATGCTCAGTATTTTTCTTCCTTAAAATCTGTCTGTGATGCTAGTCTTGACCTAGATCTCTGATGTGTATATGTGCACTCTTTCAACCTGGTCACTGCTGATGAAGTATGAAGCAAAAGTAAGATCTGAAAGTTCATTGGAACAGGCTGATGTGACTCAATTTCCTTTTGCTCTCATATGAGAAACTAACCTCCAACTTAAGACCTAGGTTGCAGAGCTGAACATGAAAATGAAAGGTTAACATACTGAACAGCTTCAACATACAACCTTCGAGGAACATTTCAAGGACAAAGTGACTCAGAGGTATGAAATATCAATTGAGAAGTTCAGCTTCTGATCCCCAGCAGTTTTGGTGACAGTCAACGGCTCTCTCCCCAAGGTGAGAAGAGAATTATCTATGTGACACCTTTGCAGGGTTTTTGGCATCATTATACATCCAAAAAGCTCAGACTGGACTCAACAAGATAATTGAGTGTGCAAAGATCTCAATCTCATAGCCTGATTCGTCTCTCTCTGGAGTGCTGGCTGTCACATAGCAGCCATTTCAGGAACACAGTTTCTTCATGTCTCTTCTGCATTATTAGTTGGTGCTTCAAGCTTTCTAGATTACTTCATGTCCTGTGGACAGAGCGCAAGGCTGCAGGCATTTCACTGCTTTACCCAGATGCTATGGATTTAGTTTCATGACCCTCTAACCCATTGAAACCATCGGTGTCTGACACCCAGTCTGCAGTTCCTTGCCTTCCTGTGAATTTCTGCAGAACCAGCTGATCATTTTGCCACCCAAACACCATTGCTTCCAAGTCAGACAGCAGCCTGTCCTGTGGGATTAAATGATGCTGGAACCACACCTGGTGAGTACTATTATTCATGTAGTTGGTATCTTTCAGTGCTCTGTCTGCTGGAGCAATTGCATATTTCTCTTACCCCAAGCCCATGAGTATACGCAGTCTCCAAAACGGGCAGATCTCCTGTTCTGAATCCTGATCTAGATGAGATGGTAACTGCTCCCTCAAAGCCTTCAGACAGACTGCTGTCTCCACATTCTTACTCACACTTACAACCCTTTCTGTTTCTCTCCCTCACTTTTAGCACCTTTGTATTTTTGAGTCTCTGCATTTATTTACTTCTAAGAGTTTGCTCTCACATCTTGTTCTTTCTAATGACTGTAGTTAATAATAGGAGAGAAACCTCTTGCAGGGAATCATCCTCACATCCCCAGATGAGGATAACTGCATGATGGCAGGAGCAATGCAAATGCAGTCCTGCTGGAATATTGGATTTATGTTACTGCTCACAAAACAGTGTGTGTTGTCCTTTCATGTCCGAGTACTGATAACTCTGTTGTCTAGAACCAGAATTGAAAAATAAACTGGGCTAATAGTTTTCTGTTTAATTTCTAGTCAAGAAACTGCTTTTTAATGTCTCTAGAAGAGCCCTGACTCAATGCTTTTCTCCTTTCAGTGAGCTACCTTTTACTAACGATACATGGTTTGGGGTCAGCATTCATGCCTGCATTTCAGGCATAATCTTCAAGTTCCACTGGCCTTTACAGGAACTCTTAAGTTGTTTTTCATATATGTCTGAAGTTAATTTTACTTATAATATTTAAACAGTGAGTGAAGTCTGAATTTTTGAAGATGTTAGAGTGAAATCTTTTGTTAACTCTGCTAAACACTTTGTTATTCTGTCACATCTAGCTTAATTATTAAACATAAAACAAGTTCAGGAGAAAAGTGCATTTATAATGAAAAATCCTCTGCTCAGCTGCATATTTCTTTGCTTGATCACTGGCACTTCTTACTTGCAAGTTCTCTCTACATGAACAAATAGTATTAGAAGTTGAATGTATGCGATTACTATCACTGTGAAGCAAGAAAAAAAGGCTTGTGCCTTCCTGTATGTGGGCTGAGAAAACCCTCAGCCATTCCTGGTCAAACAGCAACACCAAAGGCTCTTTTTTCACACTGGTTGTGTATCGCATATGCTATGGATGCATGAAATGGCAAAGAAGAAGTGAGAAGTCACAATAATAAGAGATTACAAGGTAAAATGTAAGTATTTTATTTCTATAAATAGTGAAAAAATATCATATATTTCTGAGTAATATAAAATATTAGCATCCAGCCTGTAAATACGCTGTTTATAACAACAAAAAGATTGTACCTTCTTAAAGCCAGATTGAAATAATAACATTATACATTGGAAAATGAATTTATGCCAAGAGCAGAAAGTAATCTTCTTAAAGCTTGTAAAACTTATCTTGTAGCAAAGTTTCTGGGAAAGCAAATTTCTCATGCCTAACTCAGGAATGTTAGATGGATATGCAATTTTAACCATTTAAATGGTTAAGATAATCCATTTTAAAAAGGAGTGAACAGAAAGGTTTATATCAGTCTTGAACACAACACTCCAATGGCCTTCTAAAGATGTTTTGCCTGATGTTTCATAAATAAGAAATTTCTCTGAAATTGTTTTCCAGTTGCAGTCTATCATTTTACAGATCAGTGCAACAAAATTAAGAATTGCCAATTAAAACGGGTTTACTGATTTCAAACTTCAAAGGAATCAGAGACAGTGAAGATTGGTTTTTTAAGAGACCAGTTTTCAGTTCTTACTTTGTTCTTTTGAAACCCTTTGTAAGGTACAGGCAGGTTTCCCCGACAAAGTATGCATATGCCCTGCGTGCTGTCACTGTATACTTGTACAGAAATCTGTATGCAAGACCAAACAACTGAACCGTCCACGTTTTGCCATAAGTCTAAGTAAGAATGCAGCTATATGGCTATGCTCAAGAAGTGCCAATAGGATTATATTTTTCAGAAGATTGTTCCTAAATAAATTTTTAGCTTTTCTTCACTTTTCATAGTAGATTAGCTCAGGTGAAATTCTGTAGCAAAAAGACTTGGAGCTGAAGCAAGAAGAAATTGAATTTTGATCGGCAGATCTTTATTTTTAATGTGCTTTATGCATCTAGAAGCTGAAACTGTGGCTACCTTAGGGGTATCCAGCACCCATTCAGCGAGATTCTAAAAAGAGAGGTGTCTCCATAAAGTATCCACAAATTATAGGTAGAAGCTCTTCACATTTCAGTGCTTTTTCACCTTCAATTTTAGCTTTATAACATGAGTGCAGATTAAACTTGTATAATTTACAAACAGACACTCTCTTGGCTATTTCAAATGGCTGAATCTAGAGACAAATAATTGAAAAAAATCCTAGAATGATAAATTAAATACTCATTCATAATTATACAAAATGTGGCTTTAAGACTGAGAGGCATGGGTTATTGCTATCATATACAGTATGATGAGAGTTACAAGGTTGTACACTTCATGAGATAACATTTTGAACACAATTTGGTAAAATGTCCCGTTATGAATCTGGGACATTTCATAGTTAACAATAGAGGAAGCCACAAAGAAAGCATGTCTATTTTAAGAATCCTCATCTTTAACTTTCAGTAACCTTTGAAAGAGGAGCTTAGGAGGATGCCTAACAGCAGCGTAACTCAGCAGAACCATTCCTCCAGTGAGATGCTGCCGGACACCTCAGAGAGACTCCGCACAGTTCTCATAGTCCTGTACATCATCGACTTGGCTGGTGGCACCCTCGGGGTCATCATGATGTCCCATCAGTTGTTTCAAAGGAGATCACAATCTGTGATGACTATTATCATCATCAACCTCCTGGTGCTGCACACCTTTATGCTCCTCAGCATCCCCTTCTGCCTTAGCTATTACATTTTATGGGAATGGAAAGTTGGGATGTTTCCCTGCAAGCTAGCAAGAGCCATCATCTCCCTCCACATGTACACGACCTTTGCATTTTACATGGCTATCATCATAATTCACCTCTTCCGGCTCGAGTTGAACAAGTGCTACACTGCAACCTGGGTGGCTACCATCTGGCTGGTGGGAGTGCTGGTCGTCACACCTGTTTTCCTCTTGTACTATGACACCGCTGAGATACACCACAGCTCCAAATGTTTTCAGTTCCAGAAGGAAATACGAGAGGTGACCATGGTGATAGTAAACTACTGCTTGGTTGGGACTCTGGTGGCCATTTGTGCTGTGCTCACCGTTATCGAGTTGTCTGTGATCTGTAGACTGGCTGCGAAATACTGGCCTGACATCAACTCCCATGTGGAATTCAGGGCTCAGGCACTGAGTTTCTTCTTCATCTTAGTAACATTAGTGTGCTTTATGCCTCATTATGTATTCAGAGTATATTACATCCAAAACGGCCACCTGGATAAAGACCATAAACTACTTCTATACAACGAAATTTTTTTAGCTTTAACAGCAATGTGCTGCTTGGATATGTTGTGCTTCATAGCAGGAATTGCCCGCTAAACTGTGAACTACCAGGAAATGCAGCTGCATTGTGTCAATACTAGTTTTTGGCAGAAATAAAACTGTATTGGGACTTTGCTGAGCTAGGGAGACTGCAGAGTTTTCGGCATGGCTGTACAGGTCTGTAGGATTGTTTAACTTTTGCAGATCAGTAAGATCCATCTTTCAGGAGCTACTGTTTTTTGTCTTCTCTTTTGAAGGCGGACACATGAGTCTTACTCTAGTCTTTGACCTAAGAGTCATGCCCTGAAGCTTCATTAAGGTTTTTCTCAGCTGTCCCTCTCTAACAATCACTGCATGAGTATCCATTCCTTTCTATTTTTTCCTCAAAGTGCCTCAGTAACTCCACCAGATTGTGGACAATAAGTTGTTCATTCTGAAGGTATAACAACTTTTTCTGGCAATTGTGATACTGAGGGGAAGAGAGGGAAGAAAGAAACTCCTTTATAGGATTTTTGTACTGGTGATTTTAAAAAAGCAAGGACAAAACTTGTCAAATAAAAAGTATTCGAGGCATGAAACAGGATACGAATGAAATATTGTAGTAGCATATTTCAGCAGAATCCTTCTTTTCTTCACTTATATAAATTGTATATTTAATTGAGTTATATGAAAACATCATTCTCATGACTTCACCTTTACTTGCTTAATTTCAAAACCACAAGCAGCTCAGTGAATTGTGGTAATTATACATTTAGAGTAAGTGAGAGCAAAACAGGCCACAGGTTTCAAAACTTCTGCCTTATGTCCCTCTCCTGTCAAGACTGGATCTGTGGCTGTTATTCCTTAGGTACATTGTACCAAATGAAAACTGGTTACTGTGGTCCCATAACTGGATCTGGAATTCAAATCAAGGAGTCTGGTCATTTACTGAAGGATCAGCTGCTCTCTTGGAGAGGGAAATATTTTATCAGCCTTCAAAAAACCTTTGATGTCTGGTCACTTTCAGTTGCCTCGTAATTTATTATTAGATGCCATATTTTTTCCATTTGCACATGTAACAAAGCAAAACTAGAATAAACTAACTGAACTATGTTTAATCGATTCAACATATGCTCATGTATGTGTATACAAACTTGTGCTACAGTGTGTATTTTCTCCATTAGATGGAATATATTCTTTGGGAACCACATCTGTTCTGGTAACTTCTGTTTTATCTTCACTATGTGAAAGTTTTTTTCATTACTGCATCCTGCCTGTTCTGCTCAGTGCAGAAGGTCTCTAACCCTTCTGCCAAAGGCCCCACTGTCATTTGCTGTATCCCAACAGCTTGAGGCCAGATTTCTCCCACCACAGACTCCCTGGAGTCACACAAGGCTACGCTTCCTCTTTCAGAGAACCACAAGTTACTGCAATTTTTAGTCTGGCAACCTTTGCTAAAGAAGTACTGTGGACCTTGGATTCAAACAGGTTAAAACTTGATTTGTGAGGATTAAAAAGTTACACCTGTAAAGTAATGTTAGTGATGCCTCAGACTGATGACATTTCTTTGAACAAAAGATCTTGCACCTACTTTGTCAATCCTAAGTAAATGTTTTTACCTTTACATTAAAAATACATTTGTTGAAAACTCCTGACAGTTCCAGGATCCCTTCTGCCTCTTTTAAAATGTGAGAGGTGTCCAGGAGACCAGCAGGAAGTCCTGAAGTCTTATAAAAATCCTGCCCTTATGGCTTCTTCTAAGTGTTACCAACTCCACTCCTGTTCACACAATACAGTATGCTCAGCCCACGTTTTTCAAAGACGGCAGATAGAGGTACAACATGATGTAACAGAGATGAAATGAAAATGGACAGATTCTAAAATGGGTGAATAGCTCCCAAACCAGCAGCTTTTCAAATCCTTCTCCAGGCAGGATGTAGCACATGTAGTTGTTAAAGGAGCCAGGACCTCTCTAGGTGAAAAAGCTTAAATAAAGCTCTGGTACTTCAGAAGAGTTTTGAGGAAAGCAAGGTAAGAGGCGGGACCTGCATAGAGACCCTTTCCACCTCTGACACCAGAAAGAATCAGGATAGATTTGATCTACCAAAGTCTTTAGGAAAATTGATAAAGGTGAATGTGGGGCAACAAGTACATTGTTTTTCCTTTCTGGTTACTGGACTTCTGTGGCTCAATAAAAAAATCTGTTACTTGAAGAAGTGTTCTGTGTCACTGCCTATTCTCGCTGATCAGTGTTTCCAAGATTACTTAGCTGATTAAGATCAGAGTCATCTGTTGTTGCTTGTGAGTCTGCTAATAATCTAGAAGTTCAGCCTGATGGTGTGCAAGTCTAGGAGAGGAAAAGGGAAAGTACATGAATGTCATAGAATCATAGCATCGTTATGGTTGGAAAAAAAAACCTTTAAACCTTTAAGATCATCAGGTCCAACGATTAACTTCTAAACCATGTCCCTGAGCACCATATCTAGATGGCTTTTAAATATGATTCTATTGTAATTCCACCACTTCCATGGGCAGCCTGTTCCAGTCTTTATTAACTTTTTCAGTGGAAAATTTTGTCCTCAGCTACGGTAAAAAATCATGCATTGGTGACCTTGCCCTTGGCTTTTGCCTGGCATTTTTTACCTGTGCCTGGTTGCATACATTGCTGAAATAACCCTGACCCACTGACCTGAGTTCCTGGCTTGATACTGAAGCTGTGTTGCCCTTCACAATTGTCTGGTGGCCACCGACTGCTGACTGTCACTGGTTGCCTTGCTTGGGTGCCATGGAGTTGCACGCTGCGCTATGTCTGGCTGGGATGGAGTGAATTGTTTTCATAGCAGCCCATACGGTGCTGTGTCCTGGATTTGTGGCTGAAACGGTGCTAATAACACACAGTGTTTTGACTACTGCTTGATTCTTGCACAGCATCAAGGCTATCTCTCTTTCCCACTCTGCCCTGTAGTGAGTAGGCTGCGGTGAGAAAGATACTGTATAACGTTTTGTTCAGCAATGCAAACTGAGGTAGAAGAAGAAGAAGGGAAGGGACTGACTTCCTTGGTGGTGACTGCTCAGAGACTGGCTTGACAATCTATTTGTGGGACATGATAAGTGATTTCCTACTTGTTGTCTGCTTTTTAATCTTTCCTTCACCTGTTAAACTGCCTGCATCTCAACTCATTAATTTTGCTTGTGTTCTTCCTATTCTCTGCTGGGGGTGGAAGGACTGAGAGAGCAGTTATGTGGGTGCTTAGCTGCTGGCCAGGGTGATCCCATCACACACCCCTTGTTGGTGAGACCCCTGCCCCCAATTGCAAGAAAATTGAATGTAGCTGAAATTTACATCTGTGGTGCTTCTTCCTTGCAGCTACAGCCAAACAGCCTTTATTATTAACCATTGCAATGAGGGAAAGCATGGAAACTGAAGTGCAGCTTATGCTTCAGCTTCTTTTCACAGTTATTACAAACTACCTCAGTTTTTACACCAAGGCTTCAGGTAGAACTTCATTCTAGTGCTTGCTGTACCATCCAAATCATATCTCATCCCCATTCCTTCTTCCAACCAAGTCACTTTCTTTAACCCTACCCATGAATGACACTCCTCTCTGCCTCTTGGCCTTCATCACTGATATATCTTTCCTACATTTTAATTTAAGCTCCTTTTACTTTTTTTTAATGCTTGATAATTTCCTCCATACCTTCTTTCACTGACGAAGCCTCAGTCTTGTGAGGTCAAACAACTCACTGGTCCCATGTAGTCCTCTTAGTTCAGAGGATAACTGATTGAGCATTGATCCCAGTGTTGTTAATCTGAGACTCACATTAAAGTGATAGAGATAAGCTGTATTCAATACCCAGTCCCCTGCTGAGATCTGGAAACAGTCTAAACACTGGTTAAAATAAAAAGTTATCACTCTCCAGGAAGATAATCTGAGAATTCTTAAAGGGCAATAATATTGAGCTCAGATCGTAGGGTACTATTCTTACTAGGAATTATATAATGACACATCCCCTGGAAAACGGTTTGAAATGGTTGGTTTGAATGCCATTTGCATGATCCAAGTAATTCTGGAGATAATTATACACATTAGTAATTGCTTTCATGTTAACTGACTATGCAACGTTGTAAACCATTTAGTCATCCCATTCATTTTTAATGCCGTCAAATGAACACTGTGAAAATCCCCAGATATTCAGAAAAAAAGAATATCAGACTGCTAAATGTATCTTCTGCTGTTGTTCTCCGCATGAAGTTCTGCATAAAAAGAGCAGGCAAGCAAAACCAAACCAAAATACCATTTGTACACCTGATTTCCTAAGTTAGTTTGACAACAGAAAGCTATAGGCGCAGGAAGAGGATTCTTGCCATCAGAAACCAGTGTGCTCACTGCTGTCACAACTCTGGTGCTGCTATAGCTGCCCTGTTTCTACCTAGCTCAGGAGTATCCTTCTAAACAGCGCCGAGGGTAACACGAGCCCACTCATGGGGACTTTTTAAATTCGTATCTGCTAGTATACAGAACAGCAATGTTTAAATGGAAAAAAAAAAGTCTCCGTTTCCTTCTGATGCATCTGTTCCTTTTGCATGCTCATAGGGAAGGTCATATTGATGATGCTGTCAGATGGGCAGGCCCCTCTCAGTAAGCAAGCAGAAGGAACAGATGCATTAGGAGCAAACAAAGGCACACTCCCCCTCCCCCCTTTTTTTTCCTTTTCTACTCAAGCACTGACATTCTGACCACTAACAGCTTTTGGTGGAGAAAAAGAAAGGATGATCAAGTAACACTATTTGTCTAAGGTGGCTCAAGCTGCCCAACCTATACATAGCATATATAGGTCGCTACAATGTACAGTCCCCGTTCTACTGTCTGCAGTAGCTGAAGACCATTTCTTTTCCAGTTACAAAAGTATGAACTAAAGGAAGCGATCTGTAAGAGGTCACGGGGAAAATGGTGTGGTGATGGCATGCTTGGAGAGTGTGCATGGGATACAGACAGACCAACTTTGCCTCCGTGAATAATGAAATTGTTCACTTCACATACTCTGTCCAGAATTCAGGGTTAAATCTGTAATCTGTC